AACTCCTGATGAACTGCCGTTAGGGCAGTCAAGCGATCAGGTTATAGGTTCGATTTTTGCTCGAGAACAAACCCCGCGAAACGCACCAAATATCTCAAGGTTTAGGGAACCTTTGCCACCCGTTGTGACCTCAGTGGAAGGAAGTGGTTACATCTCAGACAGCAATCAAAGCTCCGATTCCGACGATGAACTCCTCAATAGCATCGGAGGGGCGAGTGATACAGAGGATTTTCCCAACACACAGATTACCCAACCAGATACCCAAGATAATTCTCAAAGCAACTCAACCATTCTTGAGGAAAAGCTTGTCAAATCAGAAGCACGTGTACCAAATGCAATTCAACTTCCACCGCATGATATTCCCGAAATTGCTATAATACAACCCAGTCCAAAAGTTCCGGAGCAAGGCACATCCGCCGCAAGCGTACTAGAAGAACCCTTCTTCGACGTCCCAGGCGGGTTTCCAGATGATGGATCAGACAAAACACGTGATATTCAGCCTTCGCCGCAGAGTATTAATGATAAAGCTAATGACGATGCTTCCTCCTCCCTCATCTTCGAGCCAAAAGCAATAATACACCCTATCCAACCTGAAGTACTCCCTCAAACTACACTCGCTGCAACAGCTCTATCAGACGCAGTGGATAATCAGTCTACAGACGACTCTGCAAGTATTTATAGTGATGCGTACGAAGATCCCTGGAATGCCGAGGGAGATGGTTTCTTGTCTTTGGATGCTGTTGTCGAGAAGCCTATCGACAAAATTGCACCATCCCAATTATCAGAGTTACCTGGCGATGTTTCACAAGGGCATCACAAGAAATCTCAACTCCCAGCCGATAAGCAGCTTGGAGCTGCCGCTAACATCTTGGGGCCAGTACTACATCAAGATGATTGGGAAAAGGCAAAAGCCTTTTGGCGTAGTTTAACAGCTGAGAAGAGGCTTCAGCTTGAGCGCGAAGCTATGGAAGAGGCCGGAGCTGAAGGGGACGAGGACGAGATTGCACGCCCTATTCGAAAGAACAGTGTTAAGAAGGCAGCTACTCAACAGCGAACAGCAACTGAAGCGCAGCCTAGAACGTCGACGCAGCCTGAAGGTGTCTTATCTGCCAACCCCACGAAACTTTCTGCAGTCAAGTCTAAGTCCAAATATATTCAAGAACCCCCTCATCAACCAGCGACATCATCGCGGATGCGCATGTCCCTGCGTGGAGAAAAGCCCGGTCAGGCCTTAGATGGCATGCGAAAAACAATGAGGCCTCACACTGGAGGAGGACAAGCCACGCAACCCTCTCTCCATGTGACGCGGAATGGGAAATCCACACTCGTCTCTACAAAGTCAATTCGACGACGGGCACAACCTACTCAAGAATTACCTACCCAAAGAGCGAGCAGCTCTTTTCCTAGTGGTAAACCTCCTTTACAACGCCACGGGTCTGATGCTAGCGACAGCAGCTTTAAGCGTAACCGCGCCGCCCGTAACAGCGGATTCAACCTGCGCAGTTCCATGCGTCCATCATCTGCCAATCCAACTCAAGACATAACTAGAAGCTCAGGACGGTTCAGCCTACGATCACTCTCGCCAACCGGCTCCTCATTCCGGCAAAGTTTAGCTACTAATGCTACGAGTGGAGCACCGGCCCCTGCGATGCGACGCACCCTACGATCTAGTAGTGTGTCAAGTCAAGAAAGGGTCCTCCCATCTATCCATTTCCCCTCGTTTGGTCGGTCAAACAAGAATCCTACAACAAAGCGTTCCAAGATATCTAGTCGATTCGGCAACTCAAGCGACGAAGACGAAGGTGACATTACCGGCTTCCGCAGCCGCTTTGACGATTCTAGTGACGAAGAAAGCGTTCGTCCCAGTACTTCAGCACAGATAGGGCCTCTATCAAGAGGTACCCTTAGAGGGTCTGCTACTGGCGCAGCCAGCTTTCGGAAATCTACGCCTGTACCAGAAGTAGACGAGGATTCACCGACGTTGCCCAACAGCGATGTTGAGATGCCCAGTCCTATGCAGAGTTTGCGAAGTAAAGCCCCCATCGGCGGTGCAGGCTTAACTCGTTCAAATTCCGAAGCTCTGGGGACTGCGACACTGACACGATCACGATCCGGTCGTGGCGGGTTTGATACTTCCGTATCGGCCCCTACTACGCCAAATAGGGAAAGGCGAAGTTCCCTAATGGGGATATTAAGACGCAACAAGCGGGCCGATCCGGCAGGTAAAATTCAACGCTCCGGGCTTGTGGAGAGCGCAGCTAGGCGTGATACCAGGTTAGAGCGAAGTAGTGAGCAATTAAGAGACCTTCGAAGCGACAACCCTTCCAGCCCAAGGCTCCAGAAGCGATCTTCCGCTAAAAGGAACGACAGCTGGCCCTTAGGCGAGCCATCTAGGAACGAGGGTATAAGACGATCAAGCTCGGCCGGCAATCTGTTCGTTGGAAGCGGCACGGGGGGAGCCATTCAGAGGCCCGAGCTGAATGGCAAACGAAGCACGAGCCTAGGACTTCCCGCAATATATCAGAACGAACGAGATGAGGTAATTGTTGACGGTGTAGAACATAAGAAGAAAAAGAAGTTCGGTGCACTACGCCGGATGTTTGGTCTAAACGATTAGAAAGCGTTTACTACCGAGAAGAAGCAACGTAGGGTATTGGTGAAAGGAGGACGTCGAACCGCGTCGTTACGGTGCGCCGGCTATCATCACGAATCGCAACTTTATTATATTTGTTCACCAAGACCGCGGGAGTTTAGGAAAGGGGTAAAGGGTAAAGGGTAAAGGGATGGGGAACACATTGAGACGGCATAAATAATTTCCAAGTTGATACCCGTTACCCGTGTGATTGTCATAAGCTTGCAGGTAGACTTGCCCAGCCTACGATACTAATAGGGCGAATGATTTTGTTTCTTTTGTATAAGATAGGGGGGGGGTGTACACGCATATGCAGAGTCTCTTCGGAAATCACGCGTTTGTAGTGGGGTTGATACTCTTCGCGGGATTTTTTATCATTTTTCAAAGTCGAGTGTGTGGTACTAGCATCCACTGGGAGCTACTTGCAGGAATGCGCAGTCAGGCTAGAGAACGCGAAACACGCAATGAAAACGAAGGGGGGTGGGAATCAATATATGTCTTATCAGATAATGTAATACAAGACTCGCTTAACATACATGGATAGCCCTCTAGCTTGCAGGGAAATGAAGAGAAAAGAAACGTAATAATTTATTCGATGCAAACTGTTTGCGGGCATTGGGGAAATTTGGAAGCTATCGTGAGACCAACCTTACCTTAGGCTCGTGTGACAAAAACCTCAAGGCCGGGGTAGGGCTCAACCCCCCCGCGCTAGATTTATATGCGTGGGTGGTACATGATGTACTAACAATAAGAGAATAAGAAAAAATCAATTACTACCTAGGCGTGGGACTATAGGAACAATATTTGCAACCATCGTGACCTCGGAACATCGGAGGCGGAGGAGTGCGGCTCTACTATGAACCGAATATACCCAATACTTCTAGGATGGGGCTGAGTAATATAATCCAAGCCAGGGTGGCATTACTCAACAAAGAACAAATTCAAAATGACACGGGACGAATGAATCAGTAAGGCCAAAGAGAATGGTGTTATCATTGTGCATTTTGGATACGCTGTTGGAAGTTCGAGAGGCTCAGAAACTAAACTCGAACAAGACTCGGATCGACAATCGACAAGGGCAGAAAAGCCTGTTGCGGTGACATTGACAAGACTGACAAGACGGAAGCTTCCCACAGTCATAGGATTATAAAAAAAAAAGAGTGAGAGAGAAAGGAGGTCATAAGGCACGTGGGGTAAGTGTAAATAGATAGGACGTAGTTAAGGTAGCGAGTTGGCGAGTTGGCGAGTTGGCGACAGCAAATCCCACGAACATGGACATGGCTCCGGCTTCCGATGAGGAGGATGTGATGTCGTACAATAGCGTACAATTAGAAAAAGCGGTTGTAGGTGCATTTCGATTTCGATATCGCTCACCGGAAGTCGGTACTCGAGTTATCCCCTTTTAGCTCCATGCTGCCTTCTTCTATTTTTTTTTTGTGTTCGCTACGTGTACGGCGTAGGCGGATATTCCTGTTGGCTACCCATTCCCGGGGGCGTCCTCCCCAATGATATAGGCGATGATATAGGTTGCAATTTAGTGTAGGTACTGCTTTAGCTTTACTCGCTTGCTTCGAGCTCTGGGTATTTGCGGGGCCGCACTTCTGCGGTATCCTAGCAAGAGCTTAAGAGCTTAAGTACTCGGGACGCAGAATGATCTGGGCAACTGCCATATGTCGCATTGCATTGGCTGTTAAGTTGTTTCCGATTGTTTGGAGTTTTCTTTTATGCTTCGGTGTACGTAGTACTTGTCTACATACATAGATGTACCTATGGATATGCTTTGATGTACATAATATGTACATAATGTTAGATACATTAGGTAGGTACATTACCATTTTACGTACATACATACATCCAGTACACATGATGCGGGATGTGCGCAGCCCTCTGCATAATACGAATGGGCAGACAACCTTTCAGCAGCTCATATCACCAGATAGAGCCCTGAAGGAACGAAGAAGGACTTGGTCCTAGGCTTTACCCAGACCAACTCGACAGTCTTGACAAGTCTAGAATGGGCCTAAGCTTAATCGTACTATGTACCCCTCCAACCCTCCACTAAGAGGAAACCGAAGGGGGGAAAGAGAGGGGTGCTAGGGGGGAGCTTGGACCTACAAACATAACTGCTACATACATGTATGTAGTTGCATTAGGTAGTACTTATAGCATGTACCTACATAGGTGCCCCATAGAATACCTCCTAGGTACCTATAGGAGGTACGTAGTACTACGCTATAAGATAGGTACCGCATGTGCTAATAGCCAGTGGGGTATAGATCGTCAAAGGCTGGAGAAGGCGAAGAAGCCCAAGAAAAAATAATAATAAATTGTTAGTGAGCGTCCAAGGAAGATCGTGAGTTTTCTGGTCCCCTGACCTCCTGGGCGGTGGTTTAGTTTTTCCCACTCTCGTGTGTTCCCAGACTCTTTACCAATATTTTTCCTGTCGGTCTGACCTTCTCCCTCCTTTTATCTCTCACATCCTTCTCTTAAAAACCCAAGGTGATTCCCAATTGCAAGCGAATTGCTTCCAAAATCTTGATTCTCCTTACACCCAAAAGCGGTATAGAACTCCATTTGAAGGTAGAAACCCGCATACGTCATTTTCCTGACCCAGTCTAATCCATTCGTCAACCCGTGCAAACTGAAGCTCGGTTTTACTCCTCGGGCAACTCAATTCACATCCACGTCTTATTAATAACATCAACACATAAACAATATTCTCTTATTCTCTTATTGTCTTATTCTCTCCCACTCTCCTACTCTCCCCCCTACTTGGCATCCATACATCCTTATTTTTTGTCGACCCCATAAATATTTCTTTATCCATCCACCTAAACATCTCACATCTCACATCACACACATCGCACATAATGTTGTCACGAAACCTTCTCCGCGCGTCGGCACGAGCTGTCGGTGCTTCTGCCAGAGCTGCTGCTCCTCGGTCAACCCTTCCTGCTGGCGCAGCTTACATCCACAACAACAACAATCCTCTCAACAACGCAGACAACAAGGACAAGAAGGGTTCTACGCCTACTCCCGGTGCATTCGCCCGTACAGACGACAGCATCACCGTCGAGTACCCAGAGGAAGATGCTCTCCCCTCCTCTACCCCCGTCCAAGGCCGTGGTGGTTTCCACATGAAACGAACCCTCGCCTCCTTCTCGCTCGAGGGTAAGGTCGGTGTAGTTACTGGTGGCGCTCGTGGCCTCGGACTTGTCATGGGTCAAGGCATGGTTATTAGCGGTGCGAACTTGGCAATCGTCGATATGAACAGTGAGTTTGCTCCTTTTACTATTCTTTCATGCTCTTGAACCATTCCCAAACCCCCCGAATCCCCCCCCCCCCCCATTCACATTTTCGTTTCGACTCTGCTTTGTTTTGCCTTCCCATCGCCTCCCTGACTCTCACTCTGCACTCCACTTCCTTCCCTGATTCCTACATCATACCTCTGCAGATCTGCGGTGAGCTGTAACGGAGCGAAACAATTGCTGACAATTTATCCCCAATCAAACAGAGGAAGAAGCCGAACGCCAAGCTATCGAGCTGGTTGACGTGTTCCGCAAAGAGAACCCTGGCGCCACCAGAGTGCCCAAGGTCACCGCTCATTACGCCGACGTATCGGATGCAGACTCGGTTCAGAAATGCATTGACGAGGTTATCAAGGAGCACGGAAAGATCGACCACCTCGTCACCAGCGCCGGGTTCACCGAGAACTACAATGCTGTCGACTACCCCATTGACCGCATGCGCAAGTTGTGGAGCGTCAACGTAGATGGCACATATCTCTTCGCTATCACCGTTGCCAAGCACTTGATGGAGCGCAAGAGCCCGGGAAGCATGGTTTTCATCGGAAGCATGTCCGGTGCCATCGTGAACGTGCCGCAGCCCCAGGCGTAAGTTGCTCCGTTATCCAATCGTTGCGTTGGCTTAACGGTCGAGACTAACCGAGTTTGATCATTTAGTCCGTACAACAGCGCCAAGGCCGCCGTCCGGCATTTGGCCGCTTCCCTTGCCGTCGAGTGGGCCCACGCCGGCATCCGTGTAAACTGTATCTCCCCCGGTTATATGCTGACTGCTCTGTAAGTAACGCCGTCCATCATTTGATTTGGTTCTTGCAAATCGCGCGCGCATAACAGCGGCTAACAAAAACCCGCAAATAGTACCGAGAAGATCCTTGACGACAAGCCGGACCTCAAGAAGCAGTGGACCTCTCTTATCCCTCAGGGTAAGATGGGTCAACCTGTCGATCTTATGGGTCCCGTCGCATTCCTACTGTCGGATGCCAGCGCATACGTGACCGGCGCCGACGTCCGCGTCGACGGCGGTTACACTCTTACTTAAGAGGTGAAACCACGCTCAAAATTCATCTTCCAGCAAGGTTTTAGAGGATATATTCGGGACAAAAGGACATAGACAATGGTTTTTTTTTATTCCGGGGAGTTGGGCGGGGATTTTGTTCTTCCAATAATAGAGGTACCCTTTCAATCCCACGAAGATAAAAATCGGATCAGAGGGGTAACTCGTCCCACAGAAGAAGCCATAGTTGGTTTGTCCTCGCAGGATAGGATTGATGATGATGATGATGATTTGCGTGTCAAATGTATCAAGAAAGGGTAGATGAAGGCACGGAATCGCGCACGATTATTATTATTTTCGCGCTTCGTCGATCAAGTCAGTACAGGAAAAATACATTGTGTGATGATCAAATTTTTTCTTTTCTGCACGTTCGGTTTTGTTCAACGTTGATCTATTTGACGTACGAGAGGTGTAACAATTCGATGCATTCTGCGTGATAGTAATGGTGAAAGAAGAAGAAAAGGGGAAAAGATTTGACAAGTAAATTAAGTCGAGAGGAAACAATTGAAAAGGGGAGATGGAGTTGTTGTTGTCGTTGGGCTCTTCTTTCCGACCAGTGAAAAGCGTTCCGGCGCATTTTCGTGCGGCTCAGGCTTCTCTCTTCGCTTAGCGATTGCCCGGGTTTCCCTTTGTAGGTAGGTATTGTATTCCGTACCTAACCTACCTACCTATCCTATCTTTAGGCTGTTATTTATTTTAGGACACTTCCCGCCCGTCGAAATGGCATTGGAACTGGAAGATATCCACTCCCGGACGCTTAATATATGCCATGCCGGCACTTGGGGGATACGATGGGATGGCTACCCACACATAGGTACGTACGTGCGATTAGGGGTGGGTCGGTGGGTGGTGTGGTGGTGGTGATGGATGGGGTTGGGTTCGGTTACGTGGGGGTGAGGAAATGGGTACGTTGGTAGGGATCATATCTACTCGAGGGGCACAAGATTAACCTAACCTAGCAAGTTGACTGAATATTTTAAGCTCTTCTGTTTACAATATTTGAAATATCGCTATTGCTATTTGAGATGTGTGAGTTTATAAGGGCTTCATGAAAGAGATCAGTGACATCTTATATTTCTTTTAAGAGCCATGTCTAATCGAAATCATCTTACTAACCTAGAAAGCTTCCTTGGCGTTACACAATCAGGATGGCTGTGCCACTTGTTAGTTACCTACCCAGCTGTTCGACTATACGCCGTATCTGTGTCTGTTTAATTATAGTACCCCACTAATTGATTTCATTATGCACATCAAAGATATGGAACCATTTAATGCGAATATTAAGAATGAGAGGTAGTTGCTTATAACGGGGGTTAGTTGTCTCTCAAGAGGTTCAACTTCGTGTCTTTGTTTTTGCGATGTTGTTTTACACATACCGGTTCTAGTCTCAAAAGTAAGCTTAATATAAATCAAAGTGATTGGAACATATTATAACCTTTCTTCTTTGGGGGAGCAGTATACGAAGTATATAAATTACATACGAGGCCCCAAGTAACTAGCAAATAATCGTACACGGCGTTCGCTCAGGCCGCGGCGGCGGCATTGATAGAAGTAGTAGCCTGCAGGAACTCGATGTACCAGATCTTCAAGCCGCTGACGAGCGCGGCGAGCGCGAACGTGTCGCCGAGCACCCCCGTGGCCCCGCTCTCCAGGAATCGGAACTTGCAGAACTTATCTATGCTCATTTTGCCGTTGAGCGTCCACACCGCGACGATCTCCTTGCCGTCGCTTGTTGTTGAAGCCCGCCCAGGCGCCGTCCCGCTTAGCCGCACCAGTTTCCATCCGTTCCCCCACCTGTCCAGCTCCTTGACCTCTTCCCCGCGCGTGCGCCGCCACTCGAAGTCTTCTAGCCGCAGGTCTTTTCCTATGCCCACTTCGATGGACAGTTCCTGCCATAGGCGGGTCCAGGAGTGCTTTTGCACCATGTTGATGGTTTTCGCGGTCACCGCGGACCCGGGCCCGGAGCTCGACTCGCCCGCCGATGTTGAGGGGCCGGTGGAGTCGGTGGCGGGGTCCGGGAATATCTGGATTATGGTGCGCTTGCCGCTGCTCCACCGGCTCTCGTGGCCCGCCGTCGCGATGATTGGGTCTGATTCATTCGGCCCCGAGTGCATCTCTAATAGCGGCTTCGACGTCCATCCGCTGTGCATGGTTACCGCGTAGAGCGGAGTATCGGCATGTTCTCCTAGGTGGAATGTACTTGATGTGAACTTCTTCTCGAAGTACGCATTAATACACTGCGGGAACCTATTGCGTACGCCTGCGATGGCGCCCGCACCCGAGCTGCTACCGCCGGGTACGGCTACGTAGGACGGCGCTTGGCCATCGTGCGACGGGGGGTGCGCGACGGTATCGACTGCGGTGTAAGGCGGTGGCGCCACATCTTCTCCAGCTTCTTTTGGGTTGCCCATATTGGCTGTGATCTTATTTTTTCCTAAGTGCAATAAAGAATTTTTAATAACGAAAAGTTGCAAAGTCCGCAAGAACATAAGAAGAAAGAGTTTCGGGGGAAGGATTATAAGCTGATCGTCTATCTGCTTAACTGCATACAAGATGGTCAACTTGGACGCGGGATAATAACTCTAATGAAGCCGGATTCAGCTGAGACTGCAAAAGCATGGCGCAATGAGTGGCTGCGTAAAACCAAGTATTGCACAGCCCTTCTACTCTTGGTTGATCTTCTCATCTTCTTTAGGTTACTCTAATAATCTTTACTCCTATAACTTAGATACACGCAAGACTTAAGCTGTCGTGTAAGAGCCAAGTTCTTAAGACAACGAACTATACGAGTCGTACATTCTACTCAATATCTAACCTAATGAAGTAACAGAGTATTGTACAGGATATCTCTTCACTTAAAAGTTGTACTCGGCATTTCCGCAGACATTTTGGCTTACGGCGTTCTCGCTCCAGTTGTCACCCGCCTCGGGAATAATATCGAAGTTGATCCTCCATTGCGATCCGAACTGCGCCGCGGCAATGTAGTTAGCCCAATCTTTATGGTCGGTCATCCTACTGGCCCAGTCCTTGCCGATGGCGTCTGCAACTGCCTTGATGCCATTCTCGTCTGGCTGGGTGCTCATGTCATACTTGTACGCCTTGTACGAGACCAAGAAGTCGTACCCAGAACCTCGTCGCTCCAACGTGCCATCCACCGACCGGGAAGGGACTGAGAGTCGAGCTACACCCGTCATGTCAGAGCGCATGTGTAACTCGTGATCGGCTACGTCCCCGTTTTCATGGCGCAAACCGAGGACTTGGAGCTTAGTTGCCGACGGCTCTCCAGTTTCGCCTCGGGAAGCTATGGGCATAACGTTTACGGCTTCGAAGTCCTGCCCATGCAAGAGGAGTCTGTCTTCAACTGCAACAACATTAGTAACGACTGGTCGGGAAGAATTTTTAGGTTGCTCAAACTTCATACAGCTTCGTTGGAACAGATCACGGCTTTTGAGTTCATCCTTAGCTTTCTCGTTTCCATAAAGGGGCAAGTCCTTGCGGTGTGTAACCCCTTCTGCGATCACAGTTACGACGTCGGCAACGAGATAGGCGAACCGCGAGCAGTCGTTGTTGCCGGGAAGGTGCGTGCAGACGTCGTACGCTGTGAGGCCGCTGAGACCATACGCTGCGCCGGCGAACAAGATCTCGGCCTTGTACTCTGGAGCGGCTTGCATCACGGTTAGCCCGGTGCTCAGCATGATGCACCACCTCGGAGTGTCCACCCGCTTGTCTAGAGGAAGGTAAATGTTCACATCTCCCGTGGCACGCTGTGAGAGTTCTGTCGTTCGGTAGGGTCGCGCCACTGCTTTCTCTCCTAGGAGGGCAAGGACAGGCAACAGGCTAGATGACTTCATGATGGTGATCTTGAATCAAAAGAAAAAGGGCGATGTGAGAATTGGTATGAGATAAATCTTAAGTGAAATGAAAGTCTTGATATTTGATATTGTCGCCTGGAAACACGTAGAAGCGTCAGCTATATAGTCGCATCACCAAAAAGATCTTCGGAATCACTGTTAACAACCATACGAATGCCAAATCCTTTCCCCTGCCATTTCCCTCGATCAGTATCCAACAGCTTATCTTTACCATTTCAGCAAAATCATAAAGCTGTTGGGAATATTATAGTCAGCTACGCTGTGTAAATAGCCTGGTCAACTGGATTGTCTATTCTTAAACTACGTTAACCATAGCAATTGGATTATCGCAGATCTCAAAAGTGAAGTTTTCCGTATGCCAAGCTTGACTTTGAAGATCAATGACGCAAATATATAACTATGCGATTTACAAAGAATTTGCCGGTATAGGATGCATTAAATCCTACTACATTGCTAAGACTAATACTTTTACAACCAACGCCAACACCTCCAAACACGTACAACATCCACTATTATTAGTCCTCCTCTAACGTCGTATTTAGTATACTTGAATCTAACAAATAGTCAATCGGATTGGAGCAGCGATCTTCATGTTTTTGTGGCGTAAAATATCCATGTAAGGCTGTTGGGAGGCTATGTAAATCTAGGAACACCCTAGATCAGGTAGAAAACGCAGGCATCATGTAATATTTCCATCTAACTAGTCCATCGATTTTATGATGACGTAGTCAATAGGAACTCCTGGTTTTTACGGCTGAATCTGAATGACCTGGGTCAGATATTTGATAGGAGTTTCCCGCAGACGCTGCGCCGTTAACCAGCACAAGCAGCACGCCAGTCGATCAACCATACCATATACTCCTATTTTTACACACATATTACCAGCTTGCCCGTACTTACTTAGCCGCACGGTTGTGGCCACATGACTCAATAACCCCTAAAGAATAAACTACATGGAAATGGATGTATACCAAAATCAACTAGGTTACTTTCCATATCTTTGAAAACCTAGTCTTCAACTACACTGATCTGGGTGTTGTTCTATTCCTAAATTTTGGTCTCTCATGATTCCACGAATACAATCACTACTACGTTCTAACTACGTTTCGGCACGGCTTAACTTACACTCCTCCACAAAACTACACAATGTCAGTAACCGGGAAAGACCTCCTATTCGAATCAGTCGCAGCGGGTGCGTCGGCTTCCTTACTCCTAACGACCATCATGGCATACGTGGTATTGGTTCGTTTTGTGAACCAGACACCTTATGACTGGTCCAACCTCGGGCGCGCGGCGTCCAGTCTCTTTTGCGGTACCAGCGTCTTGTATGGGCTTATATTCAGATATGAGGAATGGGGGATACTTCTCGGACGACTCGAAGTACTGCTGGAAGAAGCTCTATGAGAAGAAGATGGCCTATGTAACCTTATCTTTCAGATGGTTAATAAAATACCTCTCTCTTATCTAAGATATATTGGAAAATGTGTAAATCCTCTGCCTAAGTTCTTAGGGACCCACGAGAATGTTACGTGCTCTTTATTATTAGGAACTAGCTGCTTTATCGTGACGGTACGAGACCTCGTTGTCTACTATTTCCATTGTCATGAGGTAGATGTTAATGCGATTTAGATGTTTCTCTTAACTACGAAGTGCAGCCTAACAAAGTGTTGGTATAATAATAGATGTGAGAGACATGATATGATAAGAGAACGATGGCTGATTGATATCATTTACATTAAGGCTAACAGATCTCACAGCTAAGCGAATATGTAAAAGCATAAGAGGTAGGTGTGTTTAAAAGATATAGTTCTTTGCTATTGTAGGAAATCAAAACCCTAAAGAGTGACAACCCCTATTCGCCAGATATCCAACCAATCCCCCGTTGTGGCTCTAATTATACAAGACTAGTCCCTAAGAAAAGCTAAGGAGTCAAAAATATTTGCCTAACCCCCTTTATGAGAGATCGTGGCCCCAGCAGACCTGGTTGGCAATGTTGTCCCGTCCGTAGTTCTTCCCCCAAGGCTCCATGCCGCAAGCGCCAGCCTGGAGGGTATGGCAGTCGGCATCAATCTTGGCCATCGCCTCGTCGATCTGGCCCGCGTCAATCGAGTTATCGCCCCTCCAGCTGCAAGCATAAACGACTACGCTGCCGTACTTGGACGCGATGCCCTTCCCGCCGGGGAGCTTGTCGCCGACCCGCTGCTTGAACAGAGACGTGGCTTGCTGGTAGTTGACGCCGTCTAGCTTCGTGTTGGCTAGGCACGAGGTCTGTGGCGAGTCTAGGGCGCGCTTCTCTTCGGATGGTTTCTCAAACTCCTCGAGGAGCGTGTATCCGCTCCGCTTGTGCTCGGCTGCCGTCTTGTTGAACTCTTCAATCAAGGTGTAGCTGCCGCCGCGGCGGGCGACGGGGCCTTCGCCAAGGTCGAGCATGAAGATTCCGTCGGGCTCGCTCTCGGGAATGCGTACTGCGTTGGCAGTAGCGGCGAGGAGAGCAGCGACGATAGTGAAACGCATTTTGTAGATTGTTTTGTTGTTGAGGAGAAGTCTTTAGATGGGTGTGTGAGTTGGGTATAAAGTAAATGAGTTTTGAGACTTGTAAGAGTTGTTGGTGTTCTGTTGATGCTGAGATGAAGTTGGATCATTGCCGGCGAGACTAAGACCCCTTTATACCCCTCCTCGTCGTCCAAATCTAGAGATATGACTTCTAAGCTTTGACATATTGGATAGTTGGTAATATCGTCCTCGTGAAGATATTTCGAATCATGATACGTCACCGGACAAGGCTCAGCTTCTGCTGCTATCATCAACCAGTATTCGTCAAGGCGTGTTAATCGAGTCTCGTGTGCATAGATGCTGTCATTACAATTCCTTCAGGCTATGAGAATAAAAATTGACGTAACAATTCAAATCCATTTACTTGACGATTAACAGAAACATCCCTGTGATCTAGTATCATAGATGCAAATACTCGCGGCGCAGCTTAGTGGAACTGGTGACAGCGGGTCCGAACGGCTCCTATAATCGTAGATCTCCTAGTTTGGTATATTTACTACTTCTAACAACTATGTTCATCATAGGCTATTTTGAGTCTCTAATTGTACACAACACCAAGATTCGGGTTTCTTCTTCTTTTTAGTCGCTACAAGTGAGAATCCTTGAGAAGAATCAAAATAGAACTGATGGGATATAGACTTAGGTATATTTTATGACTTTTCGTCATATCCTATTCTTAGCGCAGAAATAGTCGTGAGATGATACTAATATAGATATTTAGAGTCCTCGCATGGCTTCGGATGACTCTTAGGATATAGTATAAATATACTTTCAAATAAAGAGACGTTCTAAATTCAACCCATTCAGTCTTTCCAGCCCTCAATTCTAAACTAAACTACTTTTATATTTTATCCAAGTTCATTCCTATCGCCTTTGCCCACCATGCAAACTCACTCTGTTATTTTCCTAGGTCTTCTAAGCTTCTTTCAAGGTACCATGGGATCTACCACAGGAACTTATCCAAGAGATGTGGTTGAAGGTGTAAGTATCACTATGGCCGCTATAGCTAAAGACTACCTAATGCACGCAACTAACTCGCCGCTTCCACATAGGCTTGCTCAAGAATCGACGGGAGTCCTGGACAGTGCCAACCACGAGGCAACGGGTTTGATATCGATTATCCACCACAGCAATGCGACATAGACTACTTGGTAAGGCGATATTCGTAAATTTATATTTTCCACGAGGCTCACATAATCGACAGTGTACTATGAGTGGAAACCCTTGCTACTGGGATAAAAACGCCCCGAAGGGTCGTCAAGTTATTTGTGCTTAAACACCTTGGGAAGACTCAAGGAGTGGTGGGAATGCGGAGGATAAGGTAGTTGGGAGCGAGATAGGGAGTTTACCGGTGCTATCATGTATACTCTGCCGTTTTTTATACATAGCCTTACATTCGTTATCATGGCAGCTAAAAATTGTTAAGATATTCAAGTCTATTTTCAAAATATCCCAGTCACTTATACACATCCACTTCTGCGTATTTAAAGTACTGAACGGTATATTCTATGTTGATTCTTCGTATTTTACAACACCGATGAAGAAATTCTTGGTCAGGGATAGCCAGAGTGATTAGCAGAAGAACACTACTTTATTTCGTATTTATATTACCATACAACTCGAAAGCATTCAGGTATGTTAACTTTGGAGGTCCCTATGATACCACCCATCTGCTAGTGTTCTTCATCTCTTCAGCGGTTAGATCTATTGTTACAGCCCAAATACATCCAAGAATAGTTAGGACTAAGAAAATACTACTATGCGTGTCTAAAACGGAACTCTGTTGATAGAGCTTGTCTCTTTAATGTTGAGGGAAGCTGGCTTACTATGATGTCATATATTAGTGAATTTATGTAGATTTTATATCTATAGGAGTTAGCGAAAGTGTCTGTTGGTAGGAGATTTCGGAATCCCCCAGGTGCCTTAGGGCTGCATAAAAGCTGTCTGAAGAATTACAAGGAACTAGCAGAATACTTCAACCAATGAGGTTCAAAGGAAGTTGTGTAGCCTCGTAGGAGCGTATCTCGAAGTCACGGACTGACCCGTCGATCTAAAAGCACTGCCGGTCCCCACACATCCTACTTTCGCTGATGATCTTCTCGAGAGATCTTGTACATGGATATGACTCCTGTTCCCGATTAGAATCTAGGCCCAGACAAACATGATGTCATTCGTACGGCGTAAACATGTTTATCATAAGCTATTAGGTATAAGATATCCACTTGTGATTGTTAAGACATGCCTACCTCCAACACAATCTGAGTTATTACACTAATAGTAACTAATATAAAGGCGCAAGGCTATTTACAATCCCTGATATGGTAACCTATCAACGATCTGTCTATAAATATTAGCATAAAATTGTATATGTCGATCCGTAGCCAAGCATGTTGGTTAACTATTATGCGTGCCTTTCTGCTTCCTTGAGGATAGTATGCTGATCTCGCTATTATCGTAGCAACTAGATAGATGACGATCATCAAATCTTAATAGGATAGCATAGCAAAGCTGAGTAGTTGAAATTCGGGAATATCTTCTAACTAGCAACATGGTTGAAACCAACATCGCAACGTCCCCCGCGTTACTAATTTGAGGTGCGGAGCCCGTTCATTGACATACCCAAGATGTATGATAGATTGTGTGCTTGTAATGAACATCTGGTAGATTCTATTCTTAGACTTACTTCTTGTAACCGACAGTGACGTACGCAACGGTTTGACTACGTATAAACTCCGAATATATTAGGTAGTTCTCATATATATATTCAATGAAATTCTCCAGAACTCATTTCCATAGCAAACTACTTGAAGTCATCACCCAGGAATTATTTGAACTCCTGGAATAAAAAAGCTTTCTAGTTTATTACATACTTGACAAGTTCACCATCAGAAACACCACGTTATACATCATGCAGTTCGGCTCACTTGCTACCCTTCTCGCGGTCTTCGCGGCTGCTACTACCGCCATGCCTGGTGTCTACCACAACGCCGAAGTAAGTTACAGAAAGCACTCTCCTATCCAATAACGATAGACTAACATTCCAATAGCGAGGGACGCAGATGGCACGCGATATGCCGACTGCGCCTGATGGCTATTTCCATGTTCGCGGCAACCTTCTCCAGAGCATTGGCGGCGACGGCCAGATTCTTGCCGAGAGAGAGATCGACGCCAGAGACGCGGAAGATCTGATAAAGACCGCAGAAGCAAAGAAAGCAAAACGCGAGCTGGGGATGTTGCCTGCCACTACTCCATTCAAGCGCGAGGCATGCTCCCTTAATCAATGTTCTGATAATGCCGACTGCTATCAATGGACCGATGATTCTTTCCTGCGGTGTAGTAGGTGCATCCTACAGCAGTATTGTATTTCGGGGTACGGGGAAAAATGATGTGTAGTAAACTGCTCGTGGAGGTGAGCCGTATGATCTGGGTATAGGGGATACGGAGGGTTGTTCATTATATTTTGTGTATTATATGAGTACCTACTCTCACTCGGTCGTTATACCAACCAATTCGTTATAGCATGGGGATATGTTTTCCAATATAGGTCTTTAGCACATGTAAAATTTCGTAGATACTATGGTAATTCAAGGGATATTACTTCGAATTTTGCCTCCAGTATCGACGTGGACACTTGACTCATTCAGATAATGAGCAATTTCTTTCTACTGACTGATACCAGTATTATTGGATATAGGGGTTAAGAGAAATCCTAGAATAGGGGCATCTCGGATCGGGGACTCTTCTCGTCGAATTATCTACTTTACCTTCATAAATGAGGCTAACTCTATGTTGATCCTAGGTAGTAACGGGGTCTTTCGTATATAGAGTCTCATTCAGGAGACCTAGCCAATCAGAAAGTATATGTAAAGTAGTCGGATAGGTGTAGTCTGTCTATGCGCCCGACGATATAAGGAATTCAAACCGCCAGAAAGTGAAACTCAAATCGGCTTCGCCGGAGACATACAACAACGTCACCGAGTAAGAACTGAGAACTCGTGATGCTAATTGTGTCGAACCATCATCTGGCACTTAGTAAGGTGAAGTTATTCCCACCGACATAGCCCGGATATCGCAATGGCTGCGTCGTCTCGACTTTAAGACTGCCGGTTGAGCAGGGCGAACGTCAACAAACCAACCCCAATATAGCCTCCGCGTAAAACCCTCTGGATATCTCGCATCCTCCCTTAACTAATCATGGATTCGTCTATAGCACTACTGCCGGCCTTCGCGAATCTGACGTCGTTGCTCGTCGTGTATGTTGAGTCCTTTCTCTGTGTCCCTTGTCCTGAGCGAGACGGGCATGTTATCTCGTCGCAAAAGAAAGCGATGTCTTCCTACTTAGTGACCTAGTGCTTCAGCTTCGTATGCACTTCCTGGCACAGCTGCTACGCTGAATGACAGAACTGTTATATTTAGCTACCTAGGTATCTGCTTGCCCTGAAAGTCTATCTGTGTTTACCGAGTAGCTAGTTGGGAACTTGACTTACATTACAGTTGGATCCGTTGAATCTTGCGGCTCGGGGGGCTCGTCACTCAAATGGAGCCAATTATACGAGTGGACAGCAAGGTGGGCAGCGAGGTGGGCAGCGTTCCGTCCCGGTTGTACCTACTGGCGAGCACATCAAGTTCGGGGATTCTCGCCTAAATGTCGCGGTTAAAAGCTCGGACTTGAACAAATATGACGCGCTTGACCGGTTCATCACGAACTTTGATGTGGAGCGTCGGGCCAGCCTCGCGAGTGCGATGGGCGGGCGGCGCAAGAACCAAGATGGTGGCAGTTCTGGAAATCTAGCGAGGGCGAACCAGAGCCAGGGCCCGAGCCTACCGACATTGGCAAGCCGCCGGATTCATGGCTCGACACAGACATCCAGACCGGTCTAAGCAGCGCCCAGGTGGAGGAGCATCGGAGACGATACAACTGGAACGAGCTGGTGGCTGAAAAGGAAAACATGTTCGCCAAGGTGCTCAGTTACTTCCAAGGACCCATCCTTTATGGTGAGCAAGCTCGTCGCCTGTGCCGCCGCTCGTATGGGTATTCTGGAATATGAACTTACTAGTTGCTCTAGTTATGGAACTTGCGGCTTTACTAGCCGTGGGCCTTGGCGACTGGATTGACTTTGGCGTCATCATCGGCATTCTCTGCCTTAACGCTTTCGTTGGCTTTTATCAGGAAAAACAAGCGGCTGACGTGGTGGCGAGCTTGAAGGGCGACATTGCCATGAAAGCGACTGTTATACGTGACGGCAAGGATCAAGAGATGAATAACGAAGAAGACGACGATGAATCGATTCACTACGGCGAGCTCCTCGTCGCCTGCGATCAGTCAGCCATTACCGGCGAATCCCTCGCCGTCGACAAATACATGGGCGATATCTTGTACTATACAACCGGATGCAAGCGAGGAAAAGCATTTGCTATCATGACCACGTCTGCCAAGTACTCATTTGTCGGACGGACCGCAGCTCTAGTCCAAGGAGCCAAAGACCAAGGCCACTTCAAGGCTGTCATGGACAGCATTGGAACGTCGCTATTGGTGCTTGTTATGTTTTGGATCCTCGTCGCCTGGATCGGGGGCTTCCTCCACCACCTACAAATTGCCACGCCCGATATCCAAAATCTATTGCATTACACCTTGGTGCTGCTCATCATTGGAGTCCCCGTCGGTCTTCCAGTGGTCACGACAACAACGCTTGCGGTGGGCGCGGCCTATCTAGCGAATTAGAAAGCGATCGTCCAGAAGCTTACGGCTATCGAGTCTTTAGCCGTATGCTATTCGTAGATCCTCTATAGAAGATAGACAGTTTACTAAACGTGATATCAGGGTGTAAACGTGCTCTGCTCCGACAAGACCGGCACCTTGACAGCCAACAAGCTCAGCATTCGCGAGCCGTTCGTCGCCGAAGGACAAGATGTGAACTGGATGATGGCCGCCGCAGCGCTAGCGAGCTCGCACAACATCGCCTCGCTCGACCCCATCGACAAGGTAACAATCACGACGCTCAAGCGCTACCCCAAAGCCCGCGAGATCCTGCGCGAGGGCTGGGTAACAGACAAACTCACGCCCTTCGACCCGGTCTCCAAGCGCATCACCACCGAGTGCCGCCTCGGCAACGACCGGTTCGTCTGCGCCAAGGGGGGGCCCCGCACCATCGTCACCATCGCCGACGTCAGCGACGAGGTGTGCGCCATGTACAACCAGAAAGCGCGCGAGTTCGCCGCGCGGGGCTTCAGGTCGCTGGGCGTCGCGTGCAAGATGCTGAGGCTCGGCACCAAGGTGTATAACTCGGAGAAGCTTATACATAGCGGCTTGACGGGGACTGTGCAGCATGATCTTGTGCAGCGCGCGGATGGGTTTGCCGAGGTCTTCCCCGAGCACAAGTATTAGGTTGTTGAGATGTTGCAGCAGCGCGGCTCGCTGACGGCGATGACGGGGGATGGTAGGTTTTGCTTGTGCTAGTAGCCCCTTTTCCGGGCCCTGATACTAAACCCGTCGTAGGTGTGAACGATGCGCCATCCTTGAAGAAGGCCGATGATGGAATTGCCGTTGAGGGATCGTCCGAGGCTGCTCAGGCGGCAGCTGATACCGTCTTCCTGGCTCCGGGTCTCAGTACTATTATCCTGTCGATCAAGACTTCTCGCCAGGTATGTGCCGGGGGCGTAGTGCAGAACTCCAGCTCGATACAGGAGGGCTCTGTTCCTATAAGTTGCGCTGACAGAGAACTGGCTCATCTTCGTGACCCGCGGCGGCCAGACCTGTCTCTCGTGGCAGCTCGTCGGCGCTATCCTCGGCGTCGACGCCCTCGCCACTATATTCACCCTCTTCGGCTGGCTGTCCGGCAGAGGCGGCGGCGTAATAGAGACCACACCGCACACCTCGTTTGCCAACTCCCACAACGGCTGGACTGACATCGCGACCGTGGTCGTCATCTGGGCATACTCCATCGGCGTGCTTATATTCATTGCCATCGTGTATCTCGCGCTCAACAGCTTCTCGTGGATCAACAACCTCGGGCGCAAGGACCGCAACAAAAAGGATACGCAGATCGAGGACATCATCGGTCATATCAATAAGCTTGCCAGTAAGTTGGAGTATGTACTTTGCTGTAGATTAAGGCTAACCGAACCCCCCTCCCAGTTGAGCATGAGCTGGACCCCAAGACTGGCCGCGACAAGTACCTCATCGTGGAGAAGGAGGCTGCCGATGAAGAAGATATATGATCGTAGTTGCGCGACAATAATGAACACGGGTTTAATTCTGCGCTGTTTCGTTCTTATGCGCGTAGTATATAAGGATATATTTAATCCTCTCTCCATAAATATTTGAGAGGGGAACGGGAAGTTTAGGATGACATGCCCTCCCAATGTGTGTACCGTCATATTCTAAATAGGAAACGAAGGGTATTGTATTTAGAGATGTAGTTGCCATAGCTACCTATGCTAATATGCCTCATAGGCCATAGGCCTTAAACTTGTATGCGAAGAAAAAGGGGTTTAGCTGGCGTCCCACCCGCCTTTCCTCATACCGGTAGATGCTTTGCCCTATGAAAAGTCTTCCTAGGTTAGGTACTTACCTAGGTAGCTATGTCGTTTAAATCAGCAATACTATAAAGTATCTTCAAAGAAGGAAAAGTGGCATCGCAGCGAATGATGCATAGTAAAATGAAGATATAAAGTATGCATATATCCATAGCTATACACAAACCCCCAAACCCCCAAACCCCCAAACCCTTCGAGACTCGTTGCGCAAGTCCCCGTGTCTGCGAACCCCCTGACAAATGCAATAGCCAAAACTTAGGTTGGTAAAATATGCTAAAATGGGTACCCTTTTTCCTTTTATGAAAACGCCAATCTATCCGCGCGCCCAAGTCATGTATACCGAGATCCAGTCGCATATATATAAGTTATCGACTGTCTAATCGAGAAAACCTCCGCCCCTCGTCGCTGCTGCTACCTATAATGGGTTTCGCAGCGCCAATTTTGATGCCGCGTCCCTCTTTCATCGAACCCTCCAAGCTGAGATTGCTGGCAGCACTATTACGTCGGCGATTCCGCTTGTTGTTCTGAGCTGAGGGACTAGGCGTTGCGGGGGTAGGTAGATCTCCCACGCCGTCGTAACCGCCGGACGAGTTAGGCCTATCGGGCGAAGTCAAGGGCGGCGCATTTTCATTGATCGTGGCGATAGGGTTAGGATGAATGTGAAGACTAGGAGTTGCGGCGTTGATAGGTTCCGCCGCTTCTAGAGTAAAATCGGAATTATTCGCGGGATCTTCACGCGCCTCGTGTTGTACACTCAATAGAGATTCTCCGTTGACCTGATATCCATTGGACCCAGAAGCCCCATCGGATTCGAACGCGTCGCTGCTACGATGTGTGCTAACACCATTTAGCTTTCCATTTCTAGTATTGGTAAGAACAAGATATAAACATCAACACTTCGAGAAACTCACTGCCTAAAGGTATTAGAGGCTGTCAGACTGGCGCTGCGCGCTCGTTGGTAGCTTTCAAACTCTTCTAGCGAATGTTCTGCACCCTTGAAATTTTCCAAGGCATCAAATACGTGTTGAAAGACTTGAATGTCAACATCGCGAGCCCAGAGAAAGTCAAGGTGTTCATAATGGGGAATTTCAGTTGCTACAGTCCTATTAGGTAACTCTCGCATCATAACCTCGATGTCAACTAGAGAGTCGCTCCCTCCATAGACCAAGACAATGGGAGTCTTAATATTGCGGGTTGGATACTTGGCGACCTTCGTGTATTTGCTCGACGTGTTGATAGATAGAGGTGTTTGCACATCGTCGTCGTACATTTGGAATGACCGATTGCGAATAATCTGGAACCAATGGACGACCGACTTCGTGCTGGTAAACGAATACAGATGTGGATAAGCCGCGAGCTTCTGGCTAACCGAGATGTTTTTGGTCTTCCAGCCGAACAGGAAAGACAAGCCCATATCAATGACTTTCATAAACAGAGGTGGGTACAGTATAGACTGCCACATCGTAGCAGATGAGAGAATAGAACGTCGACCAAAGAGGAGAAAGAGGACCTGGGGCGAGGCTTTGATGAGAGCATCGACGATGCCATTATTCAAACCAGCAGGTGACATGGCCGGTGCCAATGCTATGAATACATTGACCTGCTCATTCAATTTAGGGTGCACCGCTAAGCTAGCAAACGCTTGCGCGGTGCCCTGGGAGAAGCCAATGTAGGATAAGGACTGCTGCTTTGTGTTCTCTAGGATGTAGTTGATCGAGTCTGGGATATCGTGAAAAGCGAACTCGTCGATTGAAAAGTTCCAAAACTCGGGCGTAGTAGGGGGGTAGTTGATCGACTTTTTAGAGTACTTGTTCCCACGGTTGTTACCCAGCTAATATCCCACAGTTAGTATGTACAATCTCAATCCTGTTGTAGAGACACCACTGAACGTACCCAAACGTCGAAACCTCTTTCCACTAACACAAAGGGTAGAGACCTCTGAGCGTCGGTGAGGCAAACCCAAACTTCGCTATTCATGAGGAGACCATGGTGAAGATAAACGACGCGCTTCTTTAGACTGGCGGGCCCGTCGTTGACTTTCATGTCTTCCTCACCTTTCCTCCACGCAAGGCGATGTATTCCAAGTAGGTATCCATCTTTTGTTTGTAGCACATGTTCCTCGGCTGTGTAGCCATACATGGCACAGAGATCAACGAAATCGGAGGCATTTCGAACCGAGGTCGAGATGGCTGAATGCAATGTGTTAGTGTGGAAGAGTGGCAAGGGGGAGGTAGAAGCAAGTCGTACATTTCCTTCTCTGTTCGGCCCTTTTCTGCGCCGGTGAAGTCAACCTGTTAAACAGCCGTCGCGAGGCTCGGTAGAGAAGGTTCAACAATGAGGATGCTGTATTTATGATATTAGTATAGGAGAAGTAATAGACAGAATGGTATCTACATACGTAACGCGAGCGTTAACACTCGAATAAGGGCCTCGAGCCCGATGAGAAAGAAGGAGCCCACGAGGGCAAAGTATTCGACGCTATTACGTGTGTTAATATCAACAAAGATACTTGTCTTCTTACTAGGTGGTATATAGAGACACTACTAACATGTCCAATCGACCAAGGAATGGTAAGGGCATTTTGGATTTGATATGTTCGGTATAACACCACTTAGCTCAGTACCTAAGGGATAGAAGACGTTCAATGCCAGTTTAGCGCTGCGCTATCGCAATAAGCTGTTCATTTTCCTTCTGTCTAGCTAAGTTTCCATCCAGAGTATTGCCTCTAAGAGTGAGGAATTGGATTGGTCGATGATATGGAAAGAAATAGCTGTCGCGGTGTAGGTAGGTCTTTGGTGATGTCACATGCGAATGGAATTGCAGCAAGCCAAGCTCAAGAAAGACGGACAATCGGTGTTTGAGCGATACCCATGACGGTTAGTATCTATAAGGAGAAATGGATGGTAAATGGTAAATTGAAGTCAAGGTTAAGACTTTGGAATAAAAATAAATATTAGAATAAATATTAGAATAAATATTGGAATAAATATTGGAATTCTTGCACTAGATTTTAAACTTTGAGAAGGCATAATATTGAAATCATAGGTAATTAAGGTTCTTCATTTTATTTCAATGGCAATGGAGCTCCTTCCCCTACGGTGTACTAGGTACATTGCATAGAGTCTCCCTGTCTCCCTGTCTCCCCACTAATGATAACTTAAATTGGTTGGATAGTTGACCTGGATAGCGGAAAAAGGAAAGAATGAACTCTGCCAACAACATGCCAGCAAAGCTACCTAGGTACATAGTATGTACATACAAAGCTACCCCTGCATTAAAGAAAGTTGCATATGCTAACATGCTTACCTAGGTACCTAAGTACCTAGTGTATGTACATAACTCCGGGCGGTCATCCACCAATCGATGTTATTGCATTTCTTTAAGCTCGGACCAACTAACCTTTCGCAACTTTCGCGATAGAAACCATCTGATCCGATCTGATGTGAACTGGTGGAAATTGATTCCTCTACAGCTTCGCTCGCAGATCCCCCACATCTGGTCAATATGCCAAGCTCATGTAAAGAAATAAGTATGTATGCGTGGACCTACTCATAGCGCCACTATGCCTCTCATCCTCTCATCCTGTATGGACTCTGCTGACGGCCCACCGACCACAGGAGCCGCACTGGCGGAATGCCTGCAAGAGTCGGATTGCGTGATGGTACAGCGTCATACCGCAGCCGAATGTCTGCGCTCACCGCTATCCGAGACCCTCCCGACAAAGTGCCAACAGCTGAAGAAGGGCTTTGGCGAGTGTAGGAGGGGCATGATCGATATGCGCAAGCGGTTCCGCGGGAATCAACCCATCACCTTCAAGAGCCTCGAAACGACCGAGCAGTCGGGAGAGGGATACCAGCTTTATGCCGGAAGATCCGCTTTCGCCGGCTCCGTCCGTAAAACCGACGGGAACGAGCCTGAGCCTAAGGACTGGAGGGAATTGGAGAATGAAAAGTACCGAAAAGAACAGGAGTCGCAAAAGAAATAAAATAATATATACCATACAAAAGATTGGGCGGATATGTCGCAGCAAGCATCGGACGGCGTTGGGGTTGGATTAGTATGTCTTGAGGTGTCAAAACCGGGTGTTTATATCTTCAGGTGTGGCTTGCAACGGGTCAACTCTGCTCAGACGGCAAAATTCACATCTGAATCAAACCCTAAGTCTATCTTCGGTCTCTGGGTATACTGGTTCCACTGACATGGGCAAATACTCAGTTAGTATTGATCTTGAGGCTTGAGCACGGTCTTTTTTAACATCTCACATATATCACGTATTCACACGACACTACATATACCTGTCTGCTCTATGTATAATTATATACATGTACATACCAGATATACCCAAGCTGCTAGGTTAGTCATAAGACCGAGATGACTTAGTCAGCCGTACGCTTCTAATAGTACATACCTACCTAACCTACATACCTAACCTAGGTATGTACCTATGTATCAAGCGACATCGAAATCGCTTAAAATCATCACATGTGTAATTACCTAAGCGTCACACCCCTTTGCAATGAGACTGATGAGACTAATGAGACAAGGATCTACTAGATCGGTCTTGGCAAAGATTCAAGACTCCATACCGAAATTTCATCTCTATGGCTTCCGAGGTCATTTCGCCCCTTCACGTTGCGTAACGTCGTACATTGTGTGAGACATTGTATAACAATACGTGTAACAACTTCAGAACTTCCACGGTCTCTTAGCTGTGGTCGTTATATAAGTCTTGCCTTGCCTTGTCTTGTCTTGTCTTGTCTTGTCAATCAGTAGACTCATCCCGAAGCCGTCTATGTAGAATTGAATGTCTAACAGGTTATTTGCTACGTACCCGTATTAGGTATTAGGCTTCGTATCCGCATGGACGTGAATTATACATTCGTGAACCTTCAGGTACTTAGCCGTCTATTCAACGACGTCAACACACGTCCCGATCTACGTACGTAGTGCTACTAAACCCTCAATGGGTCGTCCAGAGCCGCTACCGTCCCGGCCGCAGCGTCGACGTATAACTACCGCGAGCACCATCTTTACAATATTACTCATAACGCTATTATGCTTCACGCGTTATAGCCAACAACTACTGCCCATAGTGCCAGCAATAATGACGCAAGACGCCCAATCTCAATCTCAATCTCAACCTCACCCTCACCCTCACCCTTCCTTCACGAAGCCAACTCTCCTCGCCTCCTTACCTCCCTCCGCCCTACCCAAACCCCATGCCGGCCTCGACTCGCCTCGCCTGATCATGATCGGTGACGTGCACGGGCAGCTCGACGCACTGGATGCGTTGCTCACCAAAGTTGGGTACTCGCGCGCGCGAGGCGACACGGTCGTCTTCACGGGGGACATGGTGAACAAGGGCCCAGACAGCGGGGGCGTAGTCGACCGCGCCGTCGAGATGGGCGCGTACAGCGTGCGCGGCAACCACGAAGACCGCGTGTTGCGGGCCTGGGCTGAAATGCAGGCCGATGCAAACACAGATACAGATACGGATACGGACACGGACATAGACGAAGAAGCGGGAGGGGACGCCGAGGCAGAAGGGAAGAAAAGGAAGAAGAACCACGGGCATAAGCACAAGCATAAGAGTAAGAAGGGAGACCGCAAAACGGCAAAGAGCCTCACGTCCGCCCAGCGCTCCTGGCTCGCCGCGCGGCCCGTCATCCTGCGCGTTGGCGCCATATCTCCGTATTACGGGGACGTGGTGGTTGTGCACGGGGGTCTGGTCCCCGGCATAGCGCTCGAGAAGCAAGACCCGCAGGTAGTCATGAACATACGAACCCTCATTACGCCTTCCTCTTCCTCTTCCTCTACCGAATCCCTCCTCGATCCATCTATCGCCTCCTCTTCACACCCACACCTAAAGCCGAGCGAAGGCCGCGAAGGACACCCTTGGTCCAAGGTGTGGAACACGCTGGAGAAAGAGAAGCGCAAGAAGGGACGCCACGGGACGCCGACAACAACCGTAATCTACGGCCACGACGCCAAGACCGGCCTCAGCATACGGCGGTACGCGTTCGGACTGGACAGTAATTGTGCGCGAGGCGGGGAGCTAACAGCGCTTGTATTCGAGCCGACTTCCCCTTCCACCACCGACTCCGACTCCGACTCCCCAGACAGCAGCAACGACAGCAACAACGGCGAAAATACAGAAATAACAGCGTCCGAAAAGCTCGAGCAGACCAAACACGGCATAGCGCACCGAATCGTCAGCGTAGCCTGTCGACCACGTTAGTAAACTTGACGTAATAATACACCGGAACGAGGACCAGGGCGAGGAAGAAGCCTAGGGTAAGCAGGATGAGGAGGAGCAGGCCGACAATGGTGAAGAGGAAGGCGAATAGAGAGGCCCAGAAAGCCATGGATAGAAAACCCATTGCGTCTGTGGTTGGCTGGGCTTGGATTGGATCCTTAGATCGGTAACGTTTATTTATCAGGGTTATTTGGCTAGAGAGATAACGATGGTAATGGTGTGCAGTGGACAGTGGGCGGTGGTATGATCTTGTTGGGAGATCATAGGCATCTAACCCGACGTATCTGCATATTCATAATGCATGGCGGGGGCGTTTCTGCGTTTGTGTACCAGTAATACCAATTTTCATATATCCTACTACCTAAGGCAGGTTATCCGATACCAATACAGTACCTAATAAAGAGATATTTCGACTCGTCACATTTTGCGTGGTATTCCATACGACATCGAAGATTGAATAATAATAATAAAAGCATTGGTTAAACCCTTTAAATTTTGGTTTTCGACTATGGACATCATAGTAGAAACCTGCCGGTCTTATATTCGCCAAGCAGATCCCTTACAACTGAACTTGTTATTACCCCGGAAGCAAAAGAGGCCAAATTCATTATGCATTCTAGAAACTCCTAAACAACCCATTTCTCAGTGCACAATTGTCCTGTGCCCCTTTTTTTTGCTTGTAGGCGTCGTGGTTTACGCCGAGATCTTGTTCTTGATGATGTCCTTGAGGGTGTCGGCGTCGGCGGCGAACTTGCTAATACCCTCACGTAGCTTCTCGACAGCCATTTGCTCCTCGTTGAAGTCGAATCGGAAGAGCGATTCATCGTTGATGTAGGTCTTCTTAGTGATGTCGAGTGCCGCGGCGCCAGAGGCGTCGAGCTTCTTGGGGACGGCAGCGGACGAGTTCAGGAGCTCTTCGAGCAGGTTAGGCTATAGAGATGTTAGAGTTGCCATATTTAGGTGTATGATTAAAAGGTGGTCACTTACAGAGATGGTCAAGTAATCACAGCCAGCAAGCTCAGTGATCTCGCCAGTGTTTCGGAAAGATGCACCCATAACAATAGTCTTGTAGCCGAACTTCTTGTAGTAGTTGTAGATAGCCTGGACGGACTTGACACCGGGGTCCTCCTCCTTGGTGTACTCCTTCTTCGTCGCGGCCTTGTACCAGTCAAGGATGCGGCCGACGAAGGGGGAAATTAGGAAAGCGCCAGCCTCAGCAGCGGCAATAGCCTGGACGAGCGAGAACATGAGGGTCAGGTTGCAGTTAATGCCGTGGTCGCGCTGTAGGATCTCGGCAGCTTTGATACCCTCCCATGTCGACGCAACCTTGATCAGAATGCGGTCCTTGGGGATACCTTGCTCCTTGTATAGCTATATAATACGTATTAGTATAATTATCCAATGGTCATTGTTCATTAGCGTATATTAGTGACATGCCTCGATAATGTGTAAGGCTTTCTCAACCGAAGCCTTGGTGTCGAAGGAGAAGCGGGCGTCGACCTCGGTCGAGACCTTGCCGGGGATGATCTTCAGGATTTCTTTGCCGAACTCAACCAGGAGTCGGTCAAGAGCAGCATCGACTTGGCTGTCGATATCACCACCCTTTCCCTTGGCGTACTCTACAGCAGCGTCGATCAATTTGGCGTATTCGGCCTTCTTAGACGCGGCGAGGATGAGAGAGGGGTTTGTGGTAGCATCTTGCGGCTTGTACTTTCCGATAGCTGAAAGTTGTTGTTAGTATTGCTATGAGGAGGACAATGCTATACCGGTCTGATCCGCTCGCTATTGTCGCGAGTTGGGTTTGGGATGCGGGATATACTAACTTGCAAAGTCACCTAATACGTCAGTTAGCGCCACCGCGTCTTTATTAGAGGTAGAATTGGTGTAGCTTACCAGAGTCGCAGACGACGACCTAATTGACGAAAGCATATACAAGTTAGCCAATTGCTAGCTATGAAGCGAGAAAACGCGAGATTTGTGTGCCGCGCTCACGGAGCCAGTACTGCAGATGAGCTAGGAGATCCTCCATCTCGAACAATAAAAGCTCACGATGGAGGGGTAGAGTTGATTGAGGGGTAAACTGGACTTACCGTGCCGGTGCTCTTCAACTGGTCGAGTGAGTTAGACATTTTGTATTAGTGTTACTAGGAACTCCGGATCAAGATGTATACGACGAAGCGATCGTATTGTGAGTAACGCAAGACGAGTCGGTTACAGATGTAGTTGTAGTGTTGTTTGAAGATGGGACAATAGGTTCAATTATTGTTGGGGGCAAGTCGGGATATCTCTATTACTTTATGTACGAAGTACCATTATTATTATTATTATTTGCCCGTGATGGCGATGGTGGGGCATTATCAATGGGACAAGCGTCATATGTCCACAGTACTATGCACTACCTACCATGTAAGCTAGATGTATACTAGTTTGCATGTAGCCGTCCGTACCCCAAAAAAAGAAAATTTATCAAAGCACCTGATTTTCTGTCGTGGACTTTTCTTTCCTCTTCGACACGTTCGACCTAGGTTAAGCTCTTTCTTACTTCCGTTAGGTATGTAGGTACCTACCTAAAACCCTCCGGCCACTCCGGCCGCTCCATTTCGGCCGATCCATCCAATAGGTTGCGCTCGCCTTACCGTCAGCCACCAACCCACTTATACCTACGTCTTAAAACAACAAGGTGGCGTTGTACATAGTCTATCCATACATCTGATATTGTAAGTATTGTAAATTATAATTAAACCTACCTTGGCTAAAGTTGACTGCGTAGTAGAATTTACAGTTATTAGAATGTATTGTTAAGCAAATATTAGATAGCCGAACTCTTCCTGACTAAACAACCGCCTTTAATCGCTTGCCGATGGTATTTAGTCCTTAGTCCTTAGTCCTTTGGTAGTCCCTCGCCGATAATAACAAGTACCGACCTACAATAAGTCTACCCGCATACGGAACGTCTAAGTTACGTAGGTATTACTGTGAGCCTCAGATAGTCTCATACATTAGCGAGGGCCCTTACTCAGCCAACTATATGGACATATCGACGTCGTTGCCTCCTCCACGTGGGGTCTTGATCCGGCTATTGGGAAGTCCCACATCCTCAGCGTTTTGCTTCTCTCCGCCAAGACAGACTTCACGACAAATAGTGCTTCATATACGTTGGAGGTCGCTTTAGCCTTTAACCTGTCGATCCTATTGGTTCTATGGTAATTTTTCTTTGTTGCCAGTGTTGCTTTCGCATACAAACCCAATCAATAATGCGTTGTATATCTTCACTTACTATATGTATAATGCTTAAGAGCAGTTTCTTAAACCTGTTGTCTCGTAAATTGACGGATGTACTGCCAGGTCCTTGGCAAGGGGATTATTTTTCCCGTTCACTTTATAATATGACCGATCTTCGGCGCTCGCCGTTTCTTATATGCCTCATGTATAAATAGCCAAATGAGAAGTAAAAATTTTCTAAGTCATCGCAAATGACTACGAAAAATGTTGAGTAGCATAAGTGCTTAACTACCCGATCTATTAAATGTTTAGACAGGCATAGAACCAGCTCGAATTGAGACCTGATACTGGTAAGTGGGACAAAGCATTTGAAAAACAATTTGCATTTGTTATTCCTAAGCATAAGATGTGATTTTTAGGACCTTATATCTATACGCTCGTGATGCTTTTACTTGGCTATAGACTACACGTGCTATTTTGCTTCATATTCTACGATGTAGCTTTTTGTCTTCCCCATGCCATGCAAATATGCTGAAGAAACCCGAGACTGGCTGAAGAAAACCAGCCTAACCCAAGACAAAAAAGGGGCAAGGTGGTATTATTTAATCCTCGGTAATATCACCATACTCCCACATACCTAAGCGGTCTGCCTTGGCCTGGGACTCCACTTCGCGTAGTTTCTTCAGTACTTCCTCAGAAGCGCGTCCGCGCTCCCATGCCTTCAGCTTCTTGGGTACAAGCGCGTGACCATTTGCCACAACGTCCTTGTTAATAGAGTCTGTAAAGGTGCTGCTCGGCTTCTTCTCGTCGAACAGAGTGATATAACTCAAACCTTCCTTCTGATCCACGAAGTCGAAGCTGGCCACTAATTTTCGTCCATCAGTGACCTCGGCAATGTAATTTAGCGCGTCATTGAAGTAGTCGGGGGCAGTAGGCAGCTGGATGAACGAGAGTGCGGCGTCAGTAGCTTGCGCCTTGAGTTTCTGCGTCGTGAACTGCGGTTGGTCCAGTGCTCGGAGGTTAGACCAGGGGATCTTTTCGCTGTTGCCATAATCTATATAGACGACTTCGGCAACCTTAGCAGCCCTATCATTCGACCGCACTCGTGCACGGTACCATTGACCATCAGCTGTAAACTTAGCCGCCACGAATTCGCCGGTCTTGGGGGGATTAGCAAGGGGCCTATTGTTCTTGGGGTCAATGTGGAACTTTTTGAACTCGCTCATTAGAATTTCTAGAGCGGAAGTTCCCTTCCCAACCTCCTGAATCTTGATTCTCCCGTTGGCATCAATGTTGGTGACGACTATCTCTCGGTAATCGGAAGCTTGTTTATCCGTGGGCACAGCGTCATTTGAAGCTTCTACATTAGTAGTCTCTTCTTCAACATCTTCGTCTTGTGACGGATCCCAGTCCTGCCAGATGCCTTTACGGCCTTCCTTTGCACGCTTTTCGGCAGCTAGAAGCTCGGTAGCATTGCCGGCTTTCTCTGCTGAGTATTTATGGACAGACGCAAGGCCCTCCTCTACTAACACCTTGGCAAAACTCTCGCGGTTAAGGTAGAGGTCGCCAATGAATCCACCAACTTTGTCAATATCGTGAATATCGATTTCGCAGTCACGCTGGTTACACCGGCGGTTGGCAAGATCTAACGCCTCCTGCCCAAAGGGCTCACCCTTTTCTTGAGGTAAACGAGGTGCTCGAGGAGCACGAACGCCAGCAAGCACCATAGTGAGCTTGACTCCTTCTCGAGGAACGATAATGGTGAATCTTGAGCCAGCTTTGCAGAAATCGACTATCGCGGGTACCTTCTTTTGACGTTGAAGAGTTGAAAGCTGAATCTTGGCTTTCTGGACAGACTCTGAAACATCGACGTACGTCTTAGCTTTTGATGCCTTTCCAGACCACATACCCTTCTTCTCTTCTTTCGCCTTTTCTTGAGCCGCAAGCAACTCATCGTAGTTCGGGGCTCTATCGGTGTCATCCTTACGATGTCGAATCACGGAACACCAACCATCTTGAACTAGTTGAAGGTTGATATTCTTGCCTTTCTCAGTGACAGTAGCTACATCACGTGCCTCGAAATCGTCGCTAGCAGGTCGATGTCCGTCGATAGATACTTTTATGTGTTTACCAATTAATTTCTTTCGAAGGTATTCCTTTGCCTCGTCTCTGAAAGGGGCTTCGGAAGGCTCGTTAGCCCTGGGGCCCCGAACACTGCTAAGATTGATTCGCTTCTCGGCACCGTTCTTAGTACGAACAAATATCGCGTCCGCTCCTTGGATTTTCGAGACAATCATATCGGATGAGCTACCACCCTCGGCCTTGGCTACGTGGTCCTTGTGGAGACGTAATTTGGCCGCCTGAGCCTTCTTCTCGGCCGCTCTCAATGCTGCCATCTTTGGACCGAGTAAGGTAGAGTGGAAGTCGTTGCATCTTGCAAGTCCATCGGCAAGCAAGAATTCCGCGATACTACCACGAGGGTGCAAGACGGAGGCAATGAGTTGTCCTTGCGGGCTGGTACCAACTATTTCGACCTTGACATCACGCTGAAGAAGTCTTTGTTCGACGTATTGTCGCGCTTCGTTTCCGAACTCCTCCGCGGGTTGAGTCTGGCCAGTCGACTGGTTAACTCTCTCTGTAGAGGGTGCGCGGATACCGGCAACAAGAGCCATAACCTGCAGGTGCTTCTTGTCGGACAACTTTAGGCGCACAAGCAGACGATCACCGCTTAGAACGCGTTCAACAACACCGTCGATACTTTTACTCTTCCATTCGTCGATATCAAGACCGTTTATATCATTTTGGACTTCGATAATTCCACCAATGCCTTCCCAAAGCCCCTTTCCCTCAGCCTTAGCTTCTGCTTCTAGGGAACGAAGAGTTTCAAGTCGTTGCAGAACTTCTTCAGACTCTTCTTTACGGCCTGCATCTTCTCTGACCTTAAGCCAGCCAGCTTGGACCAATTCGTCCGGAAATTTGGTCCCCTCTTTGAGCTGGGCAACACCGTATTCTCTTCCAGATGTAGGGATGGTATAGAGAATGGAACATTGAACAACCTTGCCAACGACTAGCTTCCTCAGGTAATCCCGGGACTGGAAGGCGAAGGGTTCGTCGCCATCTCTCTTGAGATGCGGGCCGGTAACGAAGGCTAAGGAAAAAACACGCTCCGCATTCGGGTTACTCTGGCTGGTTAGCACTAGAGTGTCGCCGCTTAGGACCGATTTCACGTTAGCAAAGAATTGTTTCGCCATTTTGCTAGCGAGGAGACGGTTGAGTTAATGAATGATGAGGATGAGAGGGAAGGGAATCCGGGGAATTCCTGCAATCTGTCTAAATAGTCAGTAAATAGTTGAATACTGGTATTGGTAAGTCTCTTGGTAGCGTGCGTTGTAGAGATCTCGAAGACAAAACTAGTTGTGTGGATATAAAAGGGTGAAGAAACATGACGATATATATAATATAATATTACATATCCTGGTCTAGAGTGGCTAAGGGGTTATGAGCTCCCAGTTATAGCTCTCTATAAAGCCACATAGTTGTATTGCCAATCATCATGTGGAGTTGCAGGTTTGTATAACATTTCGTATGATGTATAAGGCCAACGTCTCTTCCGGGATATTTACACATTTATAATGAGTTGCGAACATCCATAGCCGTCGACGAAACTAAGTGACAACTTGTAGGGAAGAAGATAGTAACCCGATATCGTGACAAGTGGCATCTCACTAAGACTTTGGTTGACCACGTGTTTGAAGTTACATGTTCATGCATGCTGGCAACTGTCATAACTGGGAGTGAAACGGGAAAGGGCATAAAGATCTAAGATTGTACACTGCTCGGCTAGATACGATATCAAAACGAGTGTATCCGGCAAGTGGCATGGACACCGCCATTCTCGCTTGATTAGCATTGGAGGCGCTTGTGTTGATGAAGTATTCGAAAGTTGAATCCAAGAAGGGACGTCATTAGACTTACCCAAGCGTAGGAGGTAAAAGATGCCTCGAAGTTTAAGTTAACTAAGTAAAGAGAGTTAGAACATTCGAGGTCGAGTGTGACTAGGTAAGAAGAAGCCAATGCATTCAGAAAACGTTGACTTTAAGCTCAAAATGCAGATGTCGTGTGCGCTTTGGATTTTGACAACTTTCATCAATTTGTGGGGAAGGCCAAGTCTCTTGAGCCAAGTTGTGACTCGTTGAAAGCTGAAGGACCAAAACCACATGCAGTCAAGGCCAAGTCCAGGGGTATTGGGGGCTCCCCTAAGCGAGAAGATCGCTGAAATGATGCGGCAGCTGGCGGGGGATGAAGATCTAGTAAACGGGGCAGACGGGGCAGACGGGGTCGGTCTTTCCCCATCTGCCCCTCCTTTGTTTAAGATACATATGAGCGGGGTATGGATTACTTTATGTACCTAGGTACTATTCAATCTCGATGCGTTTTGTTAAGACTAATAGGAAAGTATAGGACAGTGAAAAGCATCGGAAACAGCAAGCGTAGTGTAGAGCACGAAGAACTGAAGGAGCTTAGATCAGGGGTTCAACTAGTTCATTATTCCCTAAATAGTACCAAGCTATCTTAGGTATCGTATTGTACCATGGCAGTCAAGGGTACCTTGGAGGGGTAGCAAACACAAACGAAAACACCAGCTTAGGTACTTCAGTAGCTTAGGTACACGATCTACATTTATACGTGTACGCAATCAAGGTGATCGAAGTTACTATTGCAAGTCCGCAGCTAGTTGAGGGTTTAGATTTGCATAGAAAAATCTATGTCGATGGCTTAAATTTTCATTTCCAATTGCTAAAGATTGTATTTCTTTTTTATAAAACCTATGATCGACTATATATCATTCAAACTCATTCAATTATACTGAATTTCGTCACTAGGTTTCATACCACTTGGGACATGTTTAGTTCGAGATGCCAATAACACCTAGGAAGGATTGTGTTAGTTGTATTGTTAATCTCGAGAAGCAACATGTATTAAAAGAAACTTACCGCAAGCGGGTCGGGGACCAGCGTTGCCAGTCTTAAGTGACTCCTCGTTACCTCCCTTGCCGAGGTCATCAGTGCCGCCGTGGAATACGACAGTTCGCTTCACCCGGAATTAGCATGTACAATATTATAGCGTCAAACATTATCACTTACGCCAATGATGCTCTCGGGGCCGATCAGCTTCACAAGCGAGTCCTCGATAGAGCCCTTGGCGTTGCCTTGAGCGTCAGTCACAACGTTGCCCAGGTCACCAACGTGACGAGTCTCGTCGGTTCGATCGCCATGAGTCTTGTTGTGGGGGTTGACTATATTGAAAATTAGTCGTTTCCTTCGGTTTGATCCTTCTATTTCTCTATGAGGGTAGCGTCACGTACAGTGAGGGCCTGCAGACGTGCAACCGTTGGTGTTGTCACCGAAGGTGTGGATGTGGAAGCCACGTTTGGCGTTGGGGTCGTGGCCGGTAACGTCCCACGAGATAGTGGTAGGGGAAGACTCGGAGGCCTGCTCAAAGGTGACGGTTCCAGTGACCTTAGAGTCACCACGAACGACAGCAACTAGAGTTGTAGATTCTTGTCAGCAATGACTCGGACCATTGTATAGGGCTGAACTAAAAAGCCACGCGGTAGGGGTTTCCGTAGGAAAGTCTAGTAGATAAGGACTCGTATGAGCCCAATGGTTCGGTTTGGCCTAGCAGACATCTTCTCATTGTGTCCAACAAGGTGTCCATTCATCACAGCCTTGGTGTACGGCAGGGACTCCTAGTTGACGAAATGCGCGCAATCGTGCTCATGCAGCCATCCTGAATCCGGAAATGATGGAATTGATGGAATTGATAGTAGTTTAAATAACGGAGACTCTTCCACGTACCGGCTTTGACCATCTTGACTACTTTTGCTTTGGTTTTCGGTCGTTTAAGGCTAGAATTCTAATACAAGGGATGATGATTGTCGGTTTTTTAGGAGAGGGGGAAAGAAGAGGGGGGGAGCTTCTCACGGTCTAATTTGTACTGAAGAGGAGAGGGGATCTCGGAAAGCCACTCCTAAGCCCGGCCTATCCTTCCCTTTCCACCCACCATTTACTTTACTTACATAAACAGTTTCATTAGGTACGAAAAGGAACCTTACCGTCTTCCATTCAAGTAACACAAAGCACGCTATCTCCAGCTGGAGCTACGAAAATTACCTAAGGTACCTCGTCCTGGTCCTATAATACCTACTTGAGGTATGTACTGGTAAGGTGGGGGTTCATCATAGCGTGCTCTGCATGAAAAGGTTGCCCCGCTTCGCGTCATTGGCGTCATATTTGCATATTTGGATGTGTGATGCTTACAAATGATATCATTTTCCCGTCAAAAAACTCGGTCATTATTATTCAATTCGGACTTTATCCAACTCGCACTAAGTCGCAACCCCATTACCAGTTACATATCTCAGACTTATTTAGCCTAGGTGGTCTCAAATCAAGTCAACCACGCGCGCCTGTGTGCGTCTCGTTCTACCTTCAGAAGCAATAGTCTCTTCAAACGTGTGGATCATTATATCGTAGAGCATGTCTACAGCTTCAGGAGAGTCGTTAGTCCCCGTCCAAATTACCCCATTCCGTAGGGGGAATAGAATTTGGCGTAGACTTTCAGCGAGCGGCTTAAGGGAGTGAAAGGTGAGAGTAAATTCCTCCAGAATATTCTGAAAGCTATCCTGATCCATGTCAAGAGACTTGAGTACCGCTAGTTTTTCCCAGTCTCCATCGCTCCATTGTCGAAGCTTACTTGTCTCTGGAGGATTCTCTGCGTGGTTTGTTATGATTGTCCACAGGAAGACATAGAGGAAAGACTCTAGGTCGTGTCGATAAGTATGACATTCACTCTTCAGCACGCCAATAGCCATAAATGGTCTGGTGCCAGTAATTCCTAGCTCTGTTTCTGATCTTTCCGAGAGCTCTATTGTGGAATCGAGGTCTATGAGGATCCCCTTTGGCTTTCCTTCATCTTGGCCATCTAGAATGATCATATTCCCCGGTGATATATCTTGGTGAAGAATATTGGCGTCATAATAGAGTGATCGATGACACTTGATAGCATCACGAAACACTTGGAGCAACTCTAATAGAGACTGAAAGGTGCGAAGGGGTCTGCCGACAGGAGAAGTAACGAGGCAAGCAAGAATACGATTTTGAAAAAAGTTATCGGTTTCTTCTGTACATTCGATAAGTCCGTCGACATTGTAAGGACTGTCCGTTCGTTGCTCTTCGATACTTCTATGTCTCTCGCAAAGGTCTACCTTAGTGAATTTTCTGTGTGTCCCCCACCGGAGGCCTCGACGCAGAGATGCTGTACTTTCAAATTCCTGGTAATGATCAAGGGAGACGGCACCCCAGACGCATTTCTTCTGGGCCAGCTTTAGAAGCTCGTCCTCCGGATGCTCCCTAGCCCAACGCCATTTGAATTTCAAGATATAATCCTGTCGATTCGAATCAAGCATTCTAGCCCGGTAGCAAGTTGTGCCTGTACCAATAAGGCCTTCACGAAAGGCGATTGGCTGGCTTTCGAGATAAAGCTTTCCTAAAGACTCAAGGACAATGTAACTACCGGCCTTATCCGACTCAATGATGTTGAGTTTCCCCAAGTCCTGGTCCGTCATATGCTGGTAACTGAGAATAATGAAGAGAAATTGGATGAATTCTTTCCGGATATCGAATACGTCACTACAATATAAGCCAGATCGATCAAAATCCCAAAGTTCGAGTAGCGAACCGCGTATGTAGAAGCCATGTAAGAAGAGCCGCGTAGGCTGACTGGAAAATACCAGGTGTGCGGACCGGCAAAGATGCAATAGACCATCCTGATAACAAACACAACCACGGTGGTAAAACTGGCCAATAACCTGAACATGGTCCCATCTCATCTGCACGTTAGAGATCGATGAGGCAGGCATGATTAAGAGAAAACGTGCACCTTCGTCAGCACTCTCTTGTTCAAGTGCTACATTGCCGCTAAATACATGCCACGAGCCCCGAGCACCGTCAAGCTCCCGCGATACATAGTTAGAAAACCATTGTAGAAAAGTGTCGGGTGTCGGTTCAGTTGATGGAACAGCGTAGCGACCAATAACTCTTCCGGCTGTCTGAATTTTTAGTAAAGCATCTTGGTGGACATCGAAATTTGCCGAAGTATTTTTCGATAAATCCACCCATGGGGCCATGCATACGGGCGTCTATGTTGTGAAGGATTTGGTCGTCCGTCCCTGTGGCCGGCGGAGCAGGCGGATGATTTTCCGCCAAATAATCAATCATCCATAACCGATAGAACACATCCAGCGCCAAGCGCCACACGACTTCAATAGGTATCGGTGGTTTGGTATTACGAGATCTCTAGTGTATAGTGTAAATGGCGATGGTTGAGGTTGAGGTTGAGGTAGGCTTGAATAGCAACCTCAAGAACTGCCTCTTGTGTTACATAGCCGATAAGTACTGATGAGATATCAAAAGAATACTATATTTATAATGTTTGTAATAATTTAATTAGTTATATTAAATCGGATTAAATACCGAACTAAATAATAATACTTATATTAGTCCAAATTACATTTCAGTCATATGATTTGTTCAATAGAAAACAATCAACTTATAAACATTTCAAATAACGCTAGACCGATAGTCAGATATTTTAGAAAAGTTGCCATCCGCAAACTGCCTCGTTGCGGCTTACATGCCTAAGGCTCGCCTCGCCGATACTACAGATGCGATATAACCATGGATTTTTTGACAGACATGCAGCAGTGACACTTAGGTATGGGATTTTAGACTCTTAAGAAATATTCCGAAACTATCCTATCTATATAAATAAGTAGTTTACGTGGTAACAAACGAAGGATGTGAAATCGGGGCGGTTAGTGGCTTCGGGGTCATGGCGACATGTTTGATTGCTGTCAAAAGTTCTCTGCAACGCCGCGGCTGTAATGCATTCCGGAGGCGTCTATTTCTTCGTAACGTTAATATTAGGGTGCTACGGTATTACTCCGTAGTAGGTTTGAAGAACAAGCAGGTTTAAGTCAACTTTTCTAACTTCAAGGGGTTTTCTAATTCAAGAAATAAAGTGGACTACTCGGATACCGGTTGATTCCAGCTACCGGGAGAACCTAGAATGTCAAAGGTTCGATAAATTCAAATCGGTAGGTTCAGCCCTATGACTACTATGTATAACGATAACGCGGCTCTAATAGCTAGCTGTAGAATGGAAATTATCATCTCATATATACTCCACACTCTGTGGAGGTTAGTATCGTCTTCTATCTCATAGGGAAAATGATCTCATAAGGAAAATAAAAGAGGATCTTGGCGGCGAACGAATGTGCGATATGACGTGGCAGCGTACTACTGGGAATGCTGCCAGTTATATCTAACTGCATAATACTAAGCCAGCTCAGATGTCGCGACGATACGTTTGGCCTTAATGTAATTGGCGCGTAAAAGAATAATTAATTTTGGTTAGTTGACTTATTATAATGCTTCGAATTCAACAAACAACTTGCGAATTCGACTTAACGCAATAGTTACCTCCCATAGTGATACTATCCGTATATAGTAACTCTTGATGATTAACCTCATGGGAGACATGTTTCACATTATTGACCGACTCTTTGGAATTAACTAAATACTGTAGCTGCAAGTAGTATGTGGTTTATCATCCCCTCAAAACCCTACCTCAAAAGAAACTTAGGCAGGAATTATGGATATATCCAGTGAGTTTGCAGATAGACTGAAGTGATGATCTTATCCTCTAGTTATATTGATGCCGTGATTGGTCATTTGCCGAGCTGCCAATTGTCAACACACGGACCAACACAGTGCCACGCTCGTTCCATCCCGTATATAGTGTACTTATTATAAGTCATATATTGCACGGGGATAGATCGTGGGGTATACTTCAATAGCTCTTCGAGTTAGATATGAGAAGATCAGCTGCATTTATATATATATCTATATTAGATTAATAGTAACGTAGACTCGATATAAGCCATCTCTGGACTAGAGAGTTAATGTAGCACATATGCTTCTAAACCTAAAGTTCTAAAGGATTGAGAGTATCCGAGAAAAGGAACACACTGTGACAGGGTATGTGAAAGGTACTCGTTTGCTCTGTTTATCAGCCAATAGTTACATGCATACTCCATAAACTTTTTCGACGTAGCTCCTCGAGTCCTTCTTTCATAAGTGGATAGAGACCAAAGGTTCATAGATGATTTCAGATTTCAGAACAATGGAAATGGAAATTACGTCTTTTTTTCGGCGGTGGTGGTGCACAGCCTTCTCAAAAGCCTCGATGTTCAGATGTACAATTGTGGCTTGGTTTCATTGCGGCAGGTGGGTTTAAGGTAAGGTTCAATGTTGTTTGTGGAGGGAGACCACTCTGCCGCTAGGAGCTGGGAGGGGACCGCTTTAAGGTTGCCATTGATTTTCACGGGTCCACCACCGGACCACGCTGTTACCGACCCTTCAAAAAAAGAAAGCGAACAGCTGGAGAAATAGCCCCCCATACACTTCAATTCAGCCTAGCCCACCCTCAGGTAACTCAAATGTTCTTCCATCAAACATCCATTTACATTCCCTTCATTGGCGCACACACAGTAACAGAATGGTCATGGTCATCTTGACTAATTTTTGGCTTCGCAATCCATTTCTAGTCACTACGACTCTTGCTTCGCCTATATCATTATAATTCCATTTCTTATATTCGCTACGGGTTTTATCATCAACTCGGGCTTCTACTACGCCTTAATCCTACGCAGTAAAGGTTTTACGACATCAACGGCTTAACGATTAAACTTTCCGACCCTTCAATCTACTGTCCTATAACCGGCTTTCCAGACCAATCCAGACGATTATCGCATTTTATTTAGTAAAAACATTCGTGCCGGATACTTCCCACCTACATCGTCCAGTCTCTTTTAAATTCCCCGAAGACGAACTTTGTCGTGAGCTTCCTCTGACACTAGCACCTATGGGGATGCGAATTGTCAAATTTCAGACACAATAGAGTTCTAGCTTACCGATGCCTGTTCATGCGACAACATTCTATCGGTCTATTCGTTAATACCCAATATCTCCACCCTGCGGTCGGCGGTTGCGCAACGACCTAGTTGACGAAACTCAATATGTCATTTCGAGACAACGACCAGCGCCGGTATGGCCATATCCCTCCTGTACAGTACCCCGTCGCAAATCAGTCTTCGCAAGACCCGTTAAACTATCCGAACCGACGGTCAAGTTTCAACAACGGCGACGATTCCAGCGGGTTTACTTCTCCCGTAACTCGACCAAGCTATCAGCCAACTTTGAATACGAATGTCGCAGGGCTTGCAGGCCGCGATGAACTGTTCCTAGCCGGCTCGTCTGATCCCAGCAGGCCTAACTATGGCAATTCAAATGTCGCCATGGCGGGATACCAGCACCAGTACCAGCCTCAGTCACCACCTACGCCATCAACGTACAACCCGCAAGCCTTCGCTCGATCTCATTCTACCTCGCTACCGTATCTACCGCACCCATCACACAGGTGGGCTCCACCAAATGCGCCGCCCGCTCCATATAGTCCTACAAGCGCGACGCCTAATAACTTCACACCTGCTCCGTATAATCCCGCCGCATATTCTGGAGCGCCAGTACCTCAGCGCCAAACAACCTATGCTGGATATACTAATAATAATAATAATAGCAGCAATAACGGTCAATCTTATGGCTCGCCGCCGTTAAACCAGTCGCCCTACTTTCAATCTCAACCTCTATATGCTGCTTCCACCCAACCGAGACACACCCCCACTCCACCAACCACTTACACTGCAAGCTACGGTCAAACGCCTTATAGCCCGGCATACCCACCTGCTACAAACACATTAGCTTCGACTCTCACGACTAGCTACGATTCTTCGCAAGGACGTTACACTACGAGCTATCCAAACGGCGGTACAAGCCCACAGGCTACGTTTTACTCATCCGACTCGTCCACATCTTCCCAGACGCCGTACCCGACCCATTCGGATATACCTGTAGGGCCGAACTACTCTGCCAACGATCCACATTCGTTTTTGAATCGTACATCCAGGTCAAATTCAGCAGCATCGCCACTACCTTCGCCCCCTGCCCATTCGCAATTATTAACTGGTTTGGCGCGCCATCCGACTAACGCGCCACTGCCTAGCCGGCCGGTCGATGATGTCGCCGAAGAGCAATACCCATCTAATGGCGCCCATGCTTCTGATATGGCACAGGAATACGCCACCCAAAATAGCATTATGCAGGACATCGAAGCTGAGCTCAGGAGGAGGAGGAATGGTTCAATCAACGGTCGTCCTACAGCTTTTGATCAGCGCAACGGTGCCTTGGCCGATGGGGATCTACAGAATCTCCGTCGGTTAACGTCCAACGCGAGCTACCATTCAACTGCCACCACGATAACGAACCAAGAAGAACCGTCTGGGGTAAACCGATACTCCTCTAATGCGTCAACGTTGAACAGGAATCACTCAACTAACCCATACACCCATGAAACTCATGAAGAGTATGACGGAGATGAAAGCGATCCGGAGGGCGCAGCCGGGGCTTGGGCATTGCAACAGGCGGAAGAGGACGATCGTCGATTTAGTTCAGTAAGCGGGACGTTATCCTATTTCAATCCGCCGGAAGCACCCACGCAACCTACTCTCCCCACTCATAGAGAAGAGCCAAGCAGCGATAGCGACTATGCTGGAATGGATTTGGGGCTCATGGGCGGGGGTTATGCCGGGAACCTAACATATGACAACAATCTCGGATCGCCGCCTGCTTCCGAAACGACACCGGGGGATTTGCAAGCTTTGCCGACCCCTCGCAGCAACCATACATCCCAAAGGAGCCATGGAAGCAATAAATATCCGGCTTTTGAGCAGGCTGAAGTGGACTATGAGGGTACTGGTGGCCTACAGAAACCCGCTGCTCATCGTTTGAGCTTCGACGAAGGGGAAGAGCGCGTTTCCCTCCACTCAAGACAAAGCGGCAGTGAGTCTCCTATAAAAGAGGACTATCCGGACATGTTTTACCATCCTGGGCTATCGAATCGTCCTCTCCCGGCTATTCCTGCCAGCTCGGACAGTAGTTCAATGTTATCTATTCAGTCGCCTACTAAAGCTGGACATCACCATGGATACTCCCTCAGTGTAGACTCACCTCCATATTCTGGACCAGATGCTCTATATGGACAAAATGCGCAGCAGCTTCAAGTTGAGAGGTCCATCTCGTTATCTAGTCATAGTACTTCA